TCCTGAGTTTAAACTTTTCAGGCATTTATTCTGTGTTTAATCCTCACTGCTTCCAGGACTTCTTGATGCCTGTCTCTTGTTTATCCTCCATGACAGTGTGATCCTAGGAACCTTCAATTGTAGTTATTCTGTGGCTTCTTATTCCCAGAATAGCTTGTTTCTAAGCAATCCCTTCCCAAACGGCTCCTGGTGAATCACTCAAATATGGTACATGCTTGAATGAATTTCTTCTCCAACTCTAGCCTACAGATTAGGAATAGTTACCTCCAAAGTAGACCTGCACACTGCTTTTTCACTTTACAAAACCAGTGTGCTTTTCTTGGGGCAAGCACTTCTGGCTTAGTTCATCCTTTCTCCCTGAAGCTGCTAACTTTTCCACAGCTTGCCTTTTTTTTTTTTTTTTTGAGGTCAGATTGTCATTGCTAGGAGCCACAATTAGTGTTCCAGCCTATGTGCTTATTTTCCCTGAGTTGTTTTCTGATTCCTCTGTTTCACTGTGATAGATTTCCTGCCAGCTCTTTAATTCCCAGACTGTTTTTCCTTTTCTGTTCACTAAGTTGTGCTCCGGGCATCCCAAGTCCAGGTCTTAGAGGGACTGAGATATGCTGCTGGAGTCTACTCTTCCATCTTCTCACCCCAGATGATTGTTCATTGTTCTCAGAAATGGATTTTTTATTTACAAAATGTGAAACACTTGCTTATTTGTGGTTTAATAAAGTATTTGCAACCAAAGACTGTTTGACATTGTGAGAAAGATGTCACACTGGTGAAAAGTGTGCATCATGGTTTAAAATCAAACCCTGAACCCTTTGAAAGAACAATGAAACATATTTTACATTCAAGAAATTATTTCTCTTTTCCACATACCTCAGGTAAGCATTTGAGGCAGGTGCATGTATACTATGGGAAAAAAATCACCTTTCAGATTTTCATTACTCTTTCTGATTAAAGGTACAACAGGTACCATGAAAGGGAAAGAAATTGTTCAATGGGAAGGAAAAACTGGGATGAGGAAAAGGACAAATTTAAAAAGGGAAAAATATACTTACTATGCATTCAGATTAGTTTGGATAATTATATTGTTGATTTCTGTTGGTCTTTTGAAAGGAACAGTTAATGCTTAATTTTTTCCCTCTGATTTTTTTCCTCTTTTGCATTTCTTATAACTTCTTTGTTTTTTTTTAATTTAAATGAATCTTATACATTTATACCTGGCAATCTGAACAACCAAAGATAGCATCATGTACAACAGCAACCATTGTTGAATTCCTGTTACTTTGTTTAGTGAAATCTTGTATTTTTTTTCTGATCTGCTTTTTTTTCTATCACTATTTTGTATTCTTTAAAAGTAAAACACACACACACACAAAAAATCCCTAGCATTGCATACCATGCCGGCCCTGCCCCTGGGAGTGAGGAGCTGGCGATGGAGTCCAGGAATGGTGCACATGCCTGTGATCCCAGCACTAAGGAGGCACAAATCAGGAGGATCACTATGAGTCTGAGTTGTTCATTATTTCTTAATTCGTTACTGGTGTAATGCATACTGATCCCACGTCTCTCGTCAGTGATATCCTTGATTATGTGCATCAATGTCACAAGTTGAAGCCCATCCAAACCAACTAGAGAAGTTAGATATGAAATTATTTACAAGAGAAAAACCATCATCAAAAGAGGTCTATCAGAAAACCTAACTATGATGCATTTCTTAAAGACAACAGGTCCATAGAAATGTTTTCTGATTATGAACAGTTGACTTTGAAATTCAGGAGTTGCACTGCTAGAATTTACAATATATATATATATATATATATATATATATATATATATATATTTATATTCAAAGATTGAACTAAGGCCAGGGAAGTGCTTATTCCACTGACCCATCTCCCCAGCCCCACCTATAAATCTTTTAAGTTAAGGTGATGCATACCATTGCTTGAAATAAAACAAGCTTTGTTTCATAGACTATTAGTTTTTCTAATGTGAATGCTTTTTATCATCCACAGAGAAGAATATTTCTTATTATTTCTGTCATCATAAGTAAATAGAATGTATTTCATTGTGACCATGGTCCTATTATGTCTAATGTTCTTGGGCTTCTTACATTGTTCATTGAGTATGTGTAAAGTGTGTATAGAAGACTAATAACCAAGAAGCCAACAATAAAATTGTTCTACAAATCTTGAGTTTATCACAATTCAGAATTTTTGCTCAAATTTTTGCACCTCAAGCATGACAGCATATTTGAGAATTTTGACTTCCTTGTTGCTTTTCTCAAACACACTTTCTTTTTGAAAAGGTGCCCAAGCAATATTGAAGTACAGAATCTAACATGTGTGTCAGAATTCCATCTCATGGGCTTCTCAGAGGATCTAGACCTGCAGCCCATGCTCTTTGGACTGTTCCTGTCCATGTACCTGGTCACAGTGCTCGGGAACCTGCTCATCATCCTGGCCGTCAGCTCTGACTCCCACCTCCACACCCCCATGTACTTCTTCCTCTGCAACCTATCCTTGGCTGACATCTGTTTCATCTCTACCATGGTTCCTAAGATGATTCTGAACATCCATACTTACAGTCGAGTGATTTCCTTTGTAGCCTGCCTGGCACAGATGTCTCTGTATATCATTTTTGGATGTATGGATGCTCTGCTCCTGACTGTAATGGCCTATGACCGGATGTGGCCATTTGTCATCCACTACACTACCAGGTCATTATGAACACTAACCTCTGTGCCTTCTTTGTTCTGGTGTCTTTTTTGTTTGGTGTTTTAGATTCACAACTGCATAATTTTATTATTTTACAATTTCCATATTTTCAGGATGTGGAAATTGCTAATTTCTTCTGTGATCCTTCTCAGCTTCTTAATCTTGTCTGTTCCCATACTCTGATCAATAATATGATCATGTATTTTGCTGTTGCCATTTCTGGTTTTTTTCCTATCACTGGGATCTTTTTATCTTACTATAAAATTTTTTCTTCTATTCTGAGAGTCCCAACACCAGGTGGGAAGTATAAAGCCTTCTCAACTTGTGGATCTCACCTGACAGTTGTTTGTTTATTTTTTGGAACGGGCATTGGAGTGTACCTCTTTTCAGATATGTCCTCTTCTCCCAGGAAGGGTGCAATGGCATCCCTGATGTACACTGTGGTCACCCCTATGCTGAATCCATTCATCTATAGCCTGAGGAACAGGGACATTAAGAATACTTTGAAGAGACTTCACAGCAGATCAGTCTTAGTTTCAATACGTGTAGCATCCATGTGGAATACAGGTTATAGAAGATAGAACACGGAACATCTAGGCTCTTAATACAGTCATTTTGGTCATAATACTTTTATTATTTGTGTGCTTTCATTTCTTATATTATTTGAAAGTAAATGGTGATATACAGATTTGAGGAATGAAGTCTTTGGGAGCTTCTATTACGTGGACAAATTTTCAGTTTGACAAGATGAATAATTTCGTTGAATGGTTGACATTGATAGTTGTACAATGTCCATGTAATTAATGTGAAATTAAAAATGGTTAAAATGATCATTTTGGTCTGTATATTTTATTACAAAAGTAATGGACATAAAATGCAGATAAATTTTTTCAATAGAGAAAAGAAAATGAATATTGCATATAGCTTTCCTCTTACTGGGAGAGCACAAACCACGTACAGCAAATTGATTTTTTCTTCTTCCTCCATTAATGTTAAGAATTCCTCAAGGATTGGGAGAACAAGGATCTATTTTGTTAAATATGAGCTTTGTGGAAGGAACCTCCTGGATCCTATAATAATTAATAATTGATCTTCAGATTATGCCTTTGGACCACTCTGTTAAAGGCACCAGTCCTGTAGATACCATACTTGTACCTGCTTAGCATGGTGGTCTTAATTGGAAAGCATCTCTTGGGGCTGGAGAGGTAGCTCAGTGGAATAAATGCTCACCTGGCAAGCACAAGGTCCTCAGTTTAATCCCTGGTACCACAAAAAAGAAAACAAAAAGAAGAAAGAGAAAGCAAGCAAGAAAGCAGCTTTCATTTTCCTTGTGTTCATATCTTTCCTGAGGACAGAGACTGAGATTTAAACAAGAGTTTGGCAGGGAAGGTGCTCAGCTTCAATATGCTCTGGCAGTATTTCATCTTGACAGTTGAAGTGCTGAGGGGAAAACATGGATCATGAAAGGAGTATCAGAAGTGCTAGGTGAAATTTTTAAACATTAACTGCTATTTTCAAAATATGATGGAAATTATAATTACACTTGCCTAATTCTGTGGGCTCTGATATCTGTGATCTGAGCAACTACATTGAAGACAGCAATAGGTAATACAAAACCCACGCTTGAATACCTTTCATCTTGCTCTTCTAAATGTGTCCTGTTTCTAATATCTTCTCAATTGTTATGCTCACTATAAAAATAATTTTTAAAAAGGACAAGGAAAAACTAAGATTTCTTGAAAGCAAGCATTAATATTCAATTATTTGTACAATCTTGCATAACTATATCTATTTTTCTTTTTTTTTAATGAAATAAATTTTTTTTAATTTTTATTTATTTGAGAGAGAGAGAGAGAGAGAGAGAGAGAGTGGTATGTGTGTGTGGCCAGCTCAGCCCACCAGGGGGCGAGGCTGGCTGGCATGTGGTGCTGGGGGATTGAACCGCGGTCCCGATGCTTTGCTAAGCTTGTTCTAAGTAGGTGCTTTAGACCACTGAGCCATCTCTCCAGCCCCTCTTTTTTTTTAATAATAATACATTTTATTTTCATTATCCATTTAACATAATTTCAAAATAGGTCTGTGCTCTAAGACGAGCAAAAGAACACACCAGAAGATTTTCCTAATGTTCTGAGCAGGGCGTGAGGCTTTGGGCCCCAGTGCTGACGCAAGCATCTTACTGCTTGTGATTTCTAACTACTGATACAGAAACAAGAGGTGGGCTCGCCACAGAAGACCCAGCCGTGTGAGGGCAGTGCTGAGCGCTCTGCTTACAGCCACCTCCGAAGGGTGTGATGCTGGTGACTGACGCTTTCCTCACCAAGTTCAGTTGTTTGTTTTAAGTAAATTGCTAAAGTATGTACATATCCTGCATTGCTTCAATACAATTAAAAGTGGAAGTCTGGAGATGTGTAATTCTTCCTGAGTTCAAGCTGGACGTGAGCACTATGAATGTGGCCTGCTTAACACGTTCAGTCCAATTTTAGCAACCATCAGCAAACTGGCACCTGCAATTAAACCTGCAGGCATAAATTTTCCAGAGTGGTAGAATCTCATTCCCATAATGCCGGCCAAGGTCCCAGATGTAACTAGGGAAACCCAAATGTTCTTGGGGTCCTGAGACAGCTGGTAAGCCCCCAGGCCCGCTAAGCTCCCGAAAAGGAGCCCAGCGGCCAGGCTTGGCATGCTACCTGCTTTTGCATAGCCAATGATCCCACCAGTAGCAACCAGGGTGGCGTAGCCATAGCCAAAATAATGTAACGGCACTAGTGGGCCGGAGCTCCTCTGCATTGTTCTGTGTCCAGGTGGGTGACCACACCAAGCCTGCACCTAGGCCGCGGGCCTGACGAAGGTCTGGATCAAGGTCTCTATATCTATTTTCCTGAGCAAAATATTTGATGATAAAAATCTAACAACCACTGTTAATTAGCTATTCCTGTTTTGAAAATTTGTAACAAATGTATTATTGTATATTGTTTCTGTTTCCTTTTGCATCTGTTTTTACTCCTCAAAATTAAGTTAAATTTTAAAAAACAAGCCCTTGAGATCCCTTTCCAACTACAGCCCAGGCCCGGTCTGCGTGTGAGACCTTCTGCACACTCACTAGATTCCTTTCCAGGCAGAGCCCAGGCCCCGCACATGTGTGGGGCATTCTGCCTGATCCCTGGTTACCTGTTGTCCCCTCTCTTGATGAAGAAAGAGAGAGAAAGGATGCTCTCATACATAAGGGTCTAGCGAAGTGTCTAAACTTACCGGTCCAAATCTACCAGGTTTGAACTTGTCCAGATATGCCTGGCTTTGGTTTGGCTGCAGTGCTCAGCTTCCTCCTTCTACAGCTCATAGAGTTGAACCTGCGATGTCCCTCTGGCAAGATGTTCAGCTCCTGAATTAGCTGGGTGGGCCTGACTCCTAGCCTCTCTGCAGGGAGTTCTGCTGCAGGTTTCCACACCTGGCCTGTCTGATGCAGGAGGTTCCTGTGAATGTGTGGATGGTCCCACACACACGCTGGGCCTGGGGCTCTGGCTGGAAAGGGATCCAGAGGTACCAGTCCTGTTCGCAGAGAGTCTGTGTTTCAAACCAAGAATGTTCAAAGGAAATAAAGAAGGCCACTATATACTGGTTAGGGGAAAAATTCAAGAGAAAGAGGTAACACTCTTAAATAAGTACGCCTTAACATGGGAGAACATAACTATATAAGATAAATCTTAAGGGACGTGAAAAAACTAATATCCAGTTCACAACCCTAACAGGAGACCTTAATACCCCCTTATCCCAAAAAGATAGGTCAAGCAGACAAAAATTAACAAAAAGGTAGCAGAACTGGTCTGGAACTTGGAACAAATGAACTTAGTGGACATTTACAGAGTATTCCACAAAACCACATCTGAATACACATTGTGTTCAGCTGCACATGGGACATTTTCTAAAATAGGCCACATATTAATGCATGGCTCATGCTTAAGTCTATGCAAGAAAACAGAAATTATCCCATGCATAGTATCTGACAATAGTGCAATGAAACTGGAAATAAATGATAAAAGGAACCACAAAAACCCCATAAATACATGGAAATTAAGCAACATCCTCCTCAGCAACCAATGGGTTACAGATGACATTAAGGAGAAGTTAAACAATATCTACAATTCAGTGAAAATTCAAGCACAAATTACCAGAATTTATGGGATGCAATGAAAGCAGTTCTTAGAGGAAAATTTATAGCTGTGAACTCACCTATTAGGAAAACACAACAGTGCTTGCTCACCTCACCATTTGCTGGCCCTGTGGGGCTCTTCAGGGTGCTGCTTCTTGTCCTGCTGGGTGGGTTCCTGTAGCAGTGCTATGCTAGGCTGACTCCGACTGCAGTCATTCCAACATTCGTGTATGTTATCATTTAAGAAATGTCACTCCAACTATTTAATTTGATCATTTACTGTTTGGATATATATATATATATATATATATATATATATATATATATATATATATATATATATATCCACTCACTATGTAGATCAGACTCCTAGTGATTCTCCTGTTTTCAGCCTCCCAAGTGCTGGGATTACAGGCATGTACCACCATGCCCAGCCTCAATTGTCACCTCAATGCTCCCCAGGGATGGGGCCAGCACAGCACACTGGGGATCGAACCCCAGCCATTGTGTCTGCCTAAACAGGTGGTTTAATCCGCTGAGCTATTTGGCTGGCCCTTATAATTTTTAGTTCTCTATTCATTTTATATATTAGTCTTTTATGTAAATAGTAGCTAGCAAATATTTTTCAATTTTTCTGCATTGTTACTTCAATCACTGTTCTTTTGCTGTGAAAAAGCATTTTAATTTGAAATAATCAAATTTTTGTTATTATTTCTTGTGCAATTAGGCTTCTGCTTAGAAAAGATTTGCTCATATTTCTGTCTTTAAGAATTTAATTTATTTTATCTTCTATCTGGCTGTTTCATTTTCTTATCTAGATGTTTGATCCAGTTTGGTATGATTTAGCACAGGGTGAAGAATCTAGGTTTATTTTTTGCCATGTAGAATTGTGCTTTTTTTTTTTTTTTCCTTTTCAATTTCTTTTTTTTTTTTTTT